ACGCAAACAAAGCAGCCGCTCCCTTCATCCGCGGTAGCCGAGTGGTGAGAGTTGCGTACTACAAGCCCGCAGGTGCCAGATTCGATCCTCGGCTGGATCAATTGATTGTCAAAACAATTTTGTTTTTATTGTTACTTTAATATTTTTATTTTTTATTTGATTTATATATTTAAGTTTACTTTATTTTATTTTCGTTTGTTTTGTTTTATTTCACATTTTTATACCCGAGCGCACTTGTGCACAAAGGTGTTATAACTTTCTTCACATAACCGTTGTTTGTAACAGGCAAAACGAATCGAGATAGATATAGACAAATGTATACATAAATGATCAGAATGAAGAGAGAAATCGATTAAGCGATGACTCTGTACGTCCGTCCGTCCGTAACGAAACTTGGTACGCGTACTTCTTTCAGGCGTAGGACGGATGGATGGTATTGAAAATGGGGAAAATCGGACAATAACCACGCCTACCTCCCATATAACGGTAGTTTTCAGAAATACGAAAACTGCGATAATTTACTAACTACTCAAGCATATTCACTCAAAATTGATATTTACAATGATTTTTAGACGAAAAATAAGAATATTATAAATTTTTGGAAAATGGGCGTAGGCACGCCCACTTATGATTACATGTGTATATCTTGGTAACCGCTCCACCAATTTCTCCCAAACTTGGCACAGTTGTTGGCCTTGGTACAACATACAAAATGGCTGAAAATTTTCAAAATTGGACAATAACCACGCCCACATCCCATATAACGGTAATTTAGAGAAATACGAAATCTTCGATAAACCAGTAAATACTTAAGCTAATTCATTCAAAATTAATGCAATAATTCTTTACCAAGACATACGTTTATGATAAAATTTTGGAAAATGGGCGTGGCACCGCCCACTTATGATCACACATATATATCTCGGTAACCGTTCTACCAATTTGTACCAAGCTCGGTATGGTTATTGTTCTTGCCACATAAAAGCAAAACATTGAAAATTATTGAAATCGGACTAAAATTGCGGCCGCTTTTCATATAACGGTAAATTTCAGAAATTCTTGAAACTTGGATATTTCGAAACTTAAGGAGGCTAATTTACTCAAAACTGATACCAACCACAATCCCTTGAAAAGAAGTAACATTATTTGGAATTTTGTAAAATGGGCGTGATACCGCCCACATATGACTATATAAGTTAATCTCATTATATCTAACTGAGCGTTCTATCAAAGATGTTCTAAATAAGGGTAAAACCACCTTGTAGCTTTCGGAAAGGTTAAAAACATATATTTAATACTTGCGCCGGATATTTAATGTTCGGCTCCGCCCGAACTGGCCCACAGTGGTTCAGAGTTCACATTTAGCACGAAAAAATTGTATCTCCTATAAACCGTGACCGATTTTTCTCAAATGACAAGCATATTAATCTGCTTTGGAAGGCACACATTTGAAACTAAAACTAGTTTCGATACCTCTTCCGGTACCGGAATTATAGCCTAAAGTATAGCCACAAGAAATGGATAAGATAACTTATAAAATAAATTATAAAAAGTATGACAATATGGGTATCAAATAAAAGGTAATTGGAAGTATTTTAACATAGATATATTTGAAAGTTATTTTACAATATTTGGTTTCATAATTTTTCCGAGAGAATACATTCTCTAGAGAAATTTTTATTAAACAAAAATGAAGTTGCAAGTATTAAGTACATTTTTACGTTTTTTCAATACTCACCTAAAAAATGTAAAGCTGTTTCTTTATCAAAATATTATTGTTTCGATGCAACTCTATTTTGTTTTCAGAAAAAAACAAGCTTCAAATTTATAAAAAAGAAACCTGAACACTCTAAGACTCTGTTCGGCTGATGAAGGAGCCTTTACATATATTAATAAGGGTACATAGAAGCAAAAATAGTTCAGAGCAATTAGTATCGAACTTTCGAACTATTTTTTAATATGATGGAATCTGAAATACTTTACTCAATCAGTTTCAGACAAAAAATTCAAGTTAAGAATAAACTGGAGTCAATACCGTTAGGTGTGCTAAGTATCAGTTTCATTAAGTAATTCAGTGTGTGGCGCTTTAAGCAGATTCATCGCATCTAGCACCAGTTTTTTTATTTTCTCCGCATTTTCCTTGTAAGCTTAATTTAGATATTATCAGGTGTGATCAGAAAAAAAGTTTGAAATATAGAAATAAATTTAAATCTTATCTTATCCGTTTTAAATTTATAACTCTCCTTTTGATAAACAAATTTAAACAAATACGTACATATATGTAAGTTAAAGCTGTAAAAAATATCTTCCATTTGATATCCATATTGAAACAAGTGAATTACTTTTAGGTAATTATAAAAAGGTGGCAACCTTGTTCGGACAACACCCTCTCATTTAGTTGAAATACCATATTTTCCAAATACAAACTTTCGTACAAGTCGTAGAGCAGTCGAAGTTTAACATAATTCATTGTATTCACACTTCGGTGCATATGGTCTTGCATGTGCATATTTCGGTAAATTTGCAAATTTTATTGTTGTAAACGTGCACTTTCCTCTTTACATAGCTTTCGTTTTCCACTTGATAATTAAAAATTCGTTTCTTTATCACTTTTTACGTATCTGCGCGTCGGTTAGAGATGAGTTGGAGAATGATGTTGGATATCAACTTGAGAACTATGAATTTTTGGTGTTTATTGGGTCGATTCTCTTTATAGCCAGACGTTGATCATTTCTGCTGGAAATCCCTATTGAAGGAGCTTACTATTTGTCTTTAAATAGCAAAGAAGGGACATTTTTACCACAGAAGTTTTTAGCCAAGGATTCAATGTATATCCCTATGAACAGTGCACACTTTCTTCTTTGGTGTCTATTAGTCTTTTTAAGATTGATGCAAAAAAGTCATAATAAAAAAAGAAACCAATGCTGGTATTTAAAGCCCAGAAAAAAAAATTCTTAAAAAGACTATGTTCCCTTTGACGTACGTCAAAGGTCAAGTAGAAAGTTGCAACTGCCCATTGATAACGCGGCTATATAGCTTAAGAAGTAATATGTTTAACGACATTTTTGTCAAAGTTGATAAATATGACATTTGACCAGCTTTGTTACACAAATACTCCCACGACCACAGGCAAAAATATTGGCTACAATTTGTCATTTTGTTTGCCATATATACGTTTTATCGGTGCACTTGCACAACATTCGCATTCGCAAAAGCTCCGCATTGATTATTGCGAATGCGAAAGCGGATGCGAATGTTTAATAATTTATATTTATATTTTCATCAACAAAGAAACTTGTCACTTTTTATTTAAAAATGTGATAATAAGAAACTAATATACATTTAAAGCTTTATGAATTGCATTTTAATAACGGTATTAATAAAATTATGGCTGTACCAAGCTGTACTATCGAAAATTCCCATAGTTCTAAAACAGTGATTCAAATCTCCGATTAAAATCACTGTTATCAGGAAATGACAGTAACAGTTTTCACAGTGATTGTCAAATCACCGTTTTGCTTATGTCTATGGTAGACATTGTTGAAAGCACCCTCGATATCGAGAAAAACTCCGAGCGTGTATTCCTTTATGGCTAATCCTTTTTCAATCGTCGAAACGATTTCGTGAAGTGCGGTCACCACAGATTTTTCTTTGGAATATGCACGCTGATTCGGGGAGAGGTTGCCTGTTTTAGTATTCCGTCGATTATATTCGTCGATGAGCCTCTCTAGAGCTTTAAGAAAGAATGAAGTGATTCACATGAGCGGCCTTGCCTCCTTTTGGTAGGAATACAACCTTCGCATTCGTCCACTCGTATGGTATGTGAGTTGGAGTTAGCCGGGCTGTACAAATCTGAGAAAGCAGGGGGATCTGTAGGATTGAAAGGACATTAAATCCGATTCCACCCTCTCATCACTTACGGTGTCCTTAACGGTATCCCCCAGAGACAGGTGGTCCTAGGACTAGGCGAACTGCCGGAGGTGTCGTCCGAGCAGCCCGGAAAGTGAGTGCTCATAAGGACCTGCAGAATTTCGTTACATGATGACGTCCAGTCACCGTTAGGCTTTTGGATAGAGTTCATACTTGAAGAGGATTTCGAAAGAACTTCCTTCGCCTGTTGGCTTCAGAGTTTTGTTCTATGTTGTTGCAGAAGTTTTGCTACGATTCGCGTTTCGCTATCTTTATGGCCTTCTTGAAGACCTTGAGTGCGTCTTTGTAGGGTTGCCATAGACCTGTCCGCTTTGCTTGATTGAATAGCCTCTTGCTGTTTGTCCTCGTCGCTGAAATCTCAAGATTCCACCATTGGGGTTTCTTTTTGCCCTTCGAGAGTGTGCTTGGGCAGGAGGCTTAGAAAGCAGCATTGCAGGCAATTGTCACAAAGCCTTACATTATAAATTTTTAAATGGAAAACTGTTATATAAAGTACTCAGAACTCGGGTCTCAAAAGGATCGACAGTACCCGATCTTTAAAGGTAACGATACTAAGTACTCCATAGTATTCAGTACTCGCAAAGTAACTCGAAAGTACTCAGAAACTCAGAACTTGAAATAACTCGAAAGTACTCAGTACTCAATAATAGTCTGTTCCAATCATCCCCTTGATACATGTGCTCAGTGTCGAGTAGATACTTAAAGTACTGAATTCTATTGTATTTTAAAATCGGATGGAAAATAGTCAAGCTATCAATAGATAAGTGCATCAAGTATGAGAATGAAGCTTTTCTGCTTTTCTGCTTTTGGCCTACCAACAACCTACACTAAGTTTTGCTTCGGGTGTATTCCGTGTTTTTACATATTTTAGTGTTAATTAATAAATAATTACATCCAAAATGTATTCTTAAAATAACTCACTTAACCCAAAAGCTACATTTTCTAACCTAATAGTAATAAATACATTTGGTTCACACCAATAATTCCAAAAATACTTCGGTTATAACTTTGAAAGTAGTTTTATTTATAAGCAAAGCATTTATTAGAGACATCATATTGATACTCCAGAATCGAAAGTAAAAAATATTAAAGGCAGTGTTGCATCAAAATTTGTTTTACGAAAGCGTTTACTCGTCGGCTCGCTACATTTGTGTACACTCCAGGGTATTCTTTGCGTCCACATCCAAATCCCCACGAAACAATGCCACAAACGCGGCCGTCGTAGACCAACGGCCCGCCAGAATCGCCAGAGCAGGAATCTTTTTCTCCCGGTATAGTCGCGCAGAGCATTGTACTCGTTAGCAGCGCCTTACCCAAATATGCTTGCATACAATCACTCTTGGCTACAACGCGCACATGTGTCGTACGCACCTGATCGGATGGCCGCTCATTAAACTCGTTCGTAATGCCCCAACCAGAAATTTTTACAAACTGATCACTACTGGGACTTTTATTACAAAGACCAATTGTAGTAATGCTTGGTCCACTAAGAGCATCTTTCAATTTCAATATTGCCACATCCATGTCCAAAGTGGCGGTTGAGTAGAACGGTGATACGAAATGCTGTTCTACTTGACGTGTCACACCCAGATCCGACAGTCGACTGGCGCCAGCGTGTACCGTTAGACTCGAAGCTGGAACGCCTTTGACACAGTGTGCAGCTGTAAGCACACAACGTCCGCTTACCAATGAGCCGCCACAGATGAATTGACCACTGTTTCGTAAATTCAACAAATACGGTACTTCTTCTATGCTAGTCTCTTGACCACCTACTATTCTGCCATCCAATAGAGTGGAGAATTTTTGTGCAGCAATATTTACAGTAATTTGTAAAAATAGTAAAAGAAATATTTCAATATATCGAATTCGTATTCGCATCTCGAAATGTATTATCTGCAAGCGAGCGAAGAGTTAAACTGAATCGCATTTTGCTA